CGAAGCACCGTCCTGCCTTTCCCATGGGCGGTGGGAGAGGCAGCCAGCACCCACACCCCAACGCCCTCCTGGTTTTGCCTGTGTCCCCCCCACCCCTCCAGCTCCCTGTGCTCAAACTTACAGATCTACCAGCCATAGTTCTAGCTAATTTCCCTCTTTCGCAGCTCTCGGGATCGCACAGACCCTCATCCTACTCGGGTGCATCCTCCTGCTGCTGCGGCTCCCGGTGCCGTGGCTCCCGGCGCCATGTCTCGCGGTGGGGGGGTGCAGCCTCTTCCCCTGCGTGAGCGGGGCCAGCCAGGCAGGATGGTCCCACGGGTGCCGGGCTGGTGGGACAGCAGCACTCCAGGGAAGGAGTTTCACCAGCAGACGTGCAATATCCTCCTGTGCCCAGAGTGCGAGCAGGGCCCCACTCAGCTGGCGGGAGGGCTGTGCGTGGAGAGGCTGTCCCCGTTCCCGTCCCCGTCCCCGTCCCCATCCCTCCCGTAGTCCCCAGGTGCGGTGGCAGGACCAGGGCTGGTGGCAGCCGGACATGGCGCAGCGGGGAGGGGGTCAGGGAGCCCCTCCAGCAGCCCACCCCCGTGGGCGCTCGCTGGAGCCGTTCAGAGAGGAAGGATGAGGCTGGGGTGTGGGGCCGGGTGCCACGTGTGAGTGCAGGGCAGCGATGCCTCCCCCTGCCCGGCACTGGGGTCAGCCCCACGGTTCCCTGTCCCACCGGGGGCTCCCAGCCCTTGAGAAATGCCCACAAAGCTGGGTGAGGTGGTGGAGGGGCTGGGGGGGGTGTGCTGAGCAGCGATGGGGACAGTTGGGGACCTTGCTGCCACCTGCAGCTGGGGGAAGGTGGGTTAGGGAGGAGATGGAGCTAAACCCTTCCCTGGGGAGAACAGTGACAGGACCGGGGAGCAAAGGACACAAGCTGCAGAACTCAAAAGGCTGATTTGATATAAGGAAAAATAACCCCTCACTGCGAGTGTGGTTAACACGGGAACCGGGGTCCAGAAAGGCTGTGCTACCTCCATCCCTGGGGTATCCGAAACCTGGCAGGACAAGGACCCGAGCAAGCTGATCTGAGCAGTTTGCCCTCGGTGCAGAGGGTGGGAGACGAGATCTCAGGAGGTCCCCAGCCCACGTTATGACCTGGGCTGGTGACAGGACTCGGGACACAATGCTACAGTGCTCTCCTGCACTGGGAGGTGCCCAGATCCCCAGCCCAGGCAGCCAAAACCTCCCCAGAGCCGGGCCTGTGGTAAGGGGCAACACCAACGGTGGGGGGAGCATAACTGGGGGGGGCTCGGACCTGGTGCGGGGCAGGAGTGACCCCGGCAGAGCTGCTCCTGCTCACAGCACTGGGATGGGGAGACGAGGGACTGGTGCTGGCTGGGGACTCAGTCGTGGCAGGTCCATCCCTCCGGCTGGAAATCACCTTTTCAAGGTACCTCCATGGCAGAGCCCTCCAACTCCACCACCGACGAACCCACCTCCTCCTGCACCACCTGCGCCCACGCTGCTCGCCGCCTCCCAACCAAGCCCCCGGGCTTCGAGAAGGGTCCCCCTGCGCATCTATTCCCTCCCTCCCGCATGTCCCCAGCTTGAAGTTAATTAATTCTTGCCCAAACCCCCCCGGACGGCCGGGCTGCTCCAGCTGGCCCCTCCTGCCCGCCGTGACCAGCCGCTTGCTGGGGGGGCCAGGGCAGATGTTGCTGGCTGGCGCGCACACGTCGGGCCCCGTGAGCTGCCACCGACCGGCCGTGCCAGATGCCAGCTCTTCCCGGCGGC